AACACCTGATCCAGTTCAAGCGGCCCAGTTCAATCGGTTTGGTTTCAAGCGGTTTGGTTCATTCGGTTCAGGTTCGGTTCGATCTGGTTCGTCACATTCCGGTTCGATTTGGTTGATTTATACCAGTTTTGATCCGGTTTGTTTGTTTCGGTTCAATTGGTTTGGTTCACTTGGCTCTATTCAATTGGTTTGGTTCGATTCCCTTTCCTCCTTCAGATTTGGTTTGGTCTGTTTCAGTGCAGTTTTTGTTTGTGTCCATATTGTTGAAGTTATGATCGAGAAGAAATTAATGGTAACGATTTCTGCGGAAGAGTTTGCTAAATTCCAATCGTACCAAAAGTCATTGATGGCATCATACTCTAATCCAATCACTGTCATTACTCGAGTGCTAACTCTTTTCGAAGAATATTATCGTTTGGGTCATCCATCTCTCTCCATGTTAAAGAGTCTCCGTCCTCAATTTCATAGTTTGCATTCTTTAGATTGTGAGTCATGTCAATTTGCTAAGTTTCATCGTCTCAGTTCCTATCCTAGAGTCAATACACGAGCTAATGCTCTTTTTGCATTCGTCAGTTCATCCCTTGGAAGGGGAGAAGTTGAATAAATATTGTTTTCATTCTTAGTTGAATGAATTAAACCATGAGAGAGAGGATGGAGAGAATCATTGTTATTTGAAAGAAAGCCACATTTTGATGCAATGATTTCTCCTTATTGAAGGCGTCCAATAAATTTGATTGTAACTTTTCCTCTGAATTAATTCGAGCCATGCTATTAAGTAAGAGAGACTCTTCGTTTCTTTTCCTTCTTTTGTAGAAAAGGGGTCATGGTTCTATGTGACCTTTCACTTTCTTATTCATTAAGGGAAATGAAAGACCTTTCGCTTTTGAGGGATTGTTTCATTAATTCCTTGTGACAAGGGAATACTATTTCTCTCTCCTTCCGGCTGAATATTAAATTCGATACTTTGGCATGTCCTTAAAATTGAAGAAGGATCCTTTAGACCCTTCGCCTTCTGTGAATTATTATCCGGTGTTGATGATTCTCTTTCTTCAATAATATTGATTATTTTTTTAACCAAATTTTCGTTAATGACAGACTGGTCATTGAACCTCGGATGCTCCCTATTCTTTTCAGGAGAATGAACCGTTTCAGAAGGTTCAGTTAAGACCATTGTTCTCTTTCTGCTTGTGTAAATATCAAAACCTTCAGGAAGTGACCTTTCAACTTCCATAACTGTCTGAAATCTAACAATGTCTAGAGGATTTGAAAGATTACTAAAGTCCGACAGAAAAGAGATTTTCTTATGGGGATTTATAGCTTGACAATGAGAAATTCGGGCCTCAAACGATCCAACACCCTTCTGATTTAATTCCACTGAAGCTGGTAGAAGACCACACTGATTTTGTTCCAACATATTCAAAGTTCTCGTTGAAATCGCTAACAGACCACCACAATATTTACCTATGGCTTCAAAACAATCCCGATTCCAAAACGAAAGAGGAAGGTCTTTAATAACAATCCAACCTCCGTATCCCAAAATAAAATCTGGTCTACTATGCTTTTCAATACACCACTTTTCTAATTTAAGACGAAATCCCTCCACTTGTCGCCAATTACCAGATAAATCCTTTGAATCAAGAGTTCGACCATTACTGAACTTGAGGAGAGCCTTATCAACCATAAAGGGGTTGAGTACACAAGACTGTGAGTATTTTGATTCAAGTGCTGAGGAGATCTTAGACCAATTGTCGTGGGCACAACATCTGGAAACAACTATCATATTGTTCCAGTCGGTTTTCAGCACTTCATACTCTTTCTTGAACCATTGAGCCTTCCCAGATCTCTTCCCTGTTGGCCTAACCGTCTTGAACTCAAGCTCTGCAGATAAATCAACTTTTTCTTGAATGCTTACGCCCTCAATCTTAGCGGGAGAGGGCCCACTAGAAACAGAATTTTTAACCACCTTAGCGTAAGAACAAGATGAATCCTGTTTCTGTGATCGGGGAAGAATTTATTCATCCGCTATTGGAACATGAAAAGCCTTTGAAATAACGCTCATCTGTCTTTCAGCATTCCTTGCAGAAAAGTTTTTAAGCATTAACCAGAAATCATACCAACCCGATTTGTTAGAATATGCCGGAACTAGAATGATCCTTCTGCCCCCTGTAAATGGCCAGAAAATGAGGGAGACAAACCAAGATTGTTTCATCTTTACCTTATGAATTCGGCATGTTCCAAACTCGTTGCGCTGATGCTGAAGGAAAGGGGAGCTCATCAATAAGTGAACTAATTTCGCCATGTGACTCTCGAACCAAAGGAAATGGGATGGATGAAGGGGAAGTAATTCTTTCCTAACCACGTCTTCCAGCAGGAAGAGGTTGTTCCGCCCAAATACAGAAGAACTTGCCATCTACTTGACAGCTGTTGACCTCCATTGGGAACCGCTTGCTGCAGCAAAATCTTAGGGACAAAAGGGAAAGGGAGAAGAGAAGGAAGGCAAGAGACTAGGGGAAAGACGAAGGACAATGGTTGGGAAGCTCGCCGAAAAGAGTGCCGGAGAGCGGGAGTCTAGTTGGTTGAGGGAGGGTGATGAATGAGAGAGGGGAGGAAAGAGGAGAGAGGAGAGAGCATTTTCCTTAACACTCCTCTGAAATAACTAGTTACACCTCTGGCTTATCATTTGCCATATCTAAACCACACACTAGTAACAACACGAAAAAACTTATCCCATGCTTAATCATTTTAGATTTTTGTTGTTTTGTCTTTTACATGGCAATCAATCAATCGTTCGAGCCAATGCATATTTTCTCTCTCGTCATGCTTAAATCCCGAAGTTTATTGTAGATCAATGCACTTCTTGCTTTAAAATACTTTGGCTCTTGTGGCATAATGCTATCAAGGCTTTGCTCTATGAGCTATGGTTTGAAAGAAATCTCAGAATTTTCGAGGGTCGATGCAATTCTTCGTTCGATCGATTTAGCATAGTTAAATTTAAAGCTTCACGGTGGTGTCCTTTGTCATCTCTTTTTGAAAATTATTCTTCTTCTCTTATTTGTTCTAATTGGGGTGCTTTTTGTTCCCATATTTAGTTTGTTCTACATTTTTTTAATCTTTCACTCTTTTTTGAGAGTTTGTATCATTGAACATTTATATCCCTTTTCATTTTAAAAATGAGAAGTTTGTTTCTTGTTAAAAAAAAAAATACAGTGGCTCATGTTGAGCACTAGTTTCTATAAAACTTGTTTATCCTCTTTTGCCAACTTTTGATCTGTCTGTAATATTCATCCAAAAGAAAGCGCGTGTATCAATAATGTAATTAATTATCTTAACTGGTTTTCCTTTTGTGGGTTTCTAATGTTATGGCAATTTTATTTATTTACTCTCTAGGAAAGGCTTCTCTCTTGCGAATGTGTTAGAAGCTGTAGTTGAAGAGGTTAGAAAGCTTTTGCTGGTGCATCCGAGTATTGCTATTGCTACCAAAGCAACCATTTTTGGGGATAAATCTTCTGACATGGTCAGACGGTGAGTGAAGTCTAGAAGGAATTTCGTTTCCCCAATGAGAAACAAAAATTGCATGACATAGTCTAAGACTCCTAACTCTGGAAGAACCATGTTTCTTGTGCTATACTGACTTATTGAACTGGTATGGTTTACGAGATTGGTGATGTGACTAGTTTTAAGCCGTCCATATTTGAGATATGAATGCATCCACACTTGCTTGCTTTGTCCTTGGTTCTTTCAAATTGTCAAGTACTTTGATAACTTGCTACAATTCTCGGGGACTAAGTGTACTTAGCTCTGCAAATTTTGAGATCTATGATTTGAAGTTACATATCACCAATTCCTTTTGCCATTCCTATCCATGTTTTGATTGCTTCGTTATCAATCTTGCTTTCTTGGATAGGAATCTATTACAATCGCTGTTTCTTTCATTGAAAAAAGAAAAAAATAAAAAATAAAATAAGAAGAAGAATAAGGAGAATGATGTTACACTATATGGTGTGACCTTGATATCCAAATATATCATCTTTTCATGTATTGATAATCATTGAAAAATCTGTAAATTTTCATTTAATTATATTTTGCATTTAAGTGGTAACATATAATTCCCCTAAAGTGTATTTGGTTGACGTAGGTATAGGGGCTAATTTTGTAACAAAATTTTTGTTTTATTTTGTTTAGTTTCAGGGTAGTTAGTACTTGGTAGGGTTAATCTATTTTTGTCTTGGAAGGTAATTATTTGTAATCTAAGCCTTTTACCTCACATTATAAAGTACAGTACATAAAGGTTGGATTAGAATGTGTACTACATAAAGGTTTTTCATTTGTACTCCCATCACCTAGTAGTTTCTTGTTTTTGGCCCCAGTTGGTATTCTCCATGGTTGTCCTTCTCGGATTTCTTTCCCTTGGATTTCAGTGGGGATAGTAGAGCTGTGAATATTGTTATTTGATATTTCTGTTTTTACTCATGCCTCGTTAGATGATATGACATATACTAACCTTCTCAAACTTGTGTTTCAGTGAAAAGCCTTCAGCAGAGTCAGAATCAAGATATGTGACAACTAGTAGTGGACCACAAGTTCTGTATCGTGAGTACATGCCTTTTGCATGGCAGGTGATCTATGTTATTGTCCCTGTCTACACTTTCTATTGTGAAAGCTGTAACTTATGTATTTTCTTAAAGATGAATAAACCATCACTCAACCCAAAAGCTTAAGCTAATGGGTTGGGTAAATTTAATTCATTTATGGATATCTCAACACTCCCCCTCACTTGTGGGCTTGGAAAATCACAAAGGCCCAACAAGAGGAAATCATAATAAATGGGGAGGAAACAACAACGATGAGTTCGATCACAGGACCTCCCGCTCAGTTCGACTTGCCCAACGCGAACAACTAGCAGTTACAAAGTTTTATTCTTCGTCTTCCACCTAGATTTGATGTGGCCAAAGACCAATTACTCTCTAGTTCAGAAATTCCAGCTTTAGAGGAGGTATACACTCGAGTACTTCGCGTTGAGAACCTCCTACGGACTCATGCCCTATACCAACAGCTTCTTCGTCCGTGGATCCAGGAACGAGTGATGACCTTCCTATTGCCCTTCGAAAAGGTAAGTGTAAGTGTACTTATCCTGTTTCTTCTTTGTTTCATATAACCATTTGTCATCACCTACTTGTTCGTTTCTGGCATCCTTGAGTCTGTATCTATTACTAAAACTATTCATGAAGCTTTGTCTCATCCTGGTTGGCGGGCTGCTATGTTGGAGGAGATGACTGCCTTAGATGACAATGGTACTTGAGATTTAGTGTCTCTTCTTGCAGGAAAGAAACCTATCGGTTGTAAATGAGTGTTTGCTATTAAAGTTCATCCTGATGGATCAATTGCTCGTTCGAAAGCTAGTCTTGTTGCTAAGGATATGTGAAGACTTATGGAATTGATTATTCTGATACTTTTTCTCCGGTTGCTAAATTGGCTTATGTTAGATTATTTATTTCCTTGGCATCTATTCACCATTGACTCTTACATCAGCTTGATATTAAAAATGCATTCCTTCACGATGATCTTCCAGAAGAAGTGTATATGGAGCAACGACCAGGTTTTGTTGCTCAGGGGGAGAATGGAAAGGTACGTCGTCTTCGTAAATCCTTATATGGGTTGAAACAAAGTCCACGAGCATTGTTTAGAAAATTCAGTCAGGTGATTGATGACTTTGGAATGAAAAAGAGTAAGTCGGACCATTCTGTCTTCTATAAACAATCTGAGTCTGGTGTTATCTTACTAGTTGTATATTGATGATATTGTGATTACTGGTAATGATTCAGCAGACATCCTATCACTCAAAACTTTTCTTCATAGTCAATTCCATACTAAGGATTTGGGAGTGCTAAAATACTTCTTAGGAATCGAGGTAATAAGCAGCAAGAAGGGATTCTCTTATCACAGAGAAAATATGTATTGACCTTTTAACTGAAACAGGAAAGTTAGTTGCTAAGCCACGAAGTACCCCAATGATACCTAATTTATAACTTACAAAAGAAGGGGAGTTGTTGAAAGATCCTGGGAAGTATAGGAGGTTATTAGGGTAGCTGAATTATCTCACAGTTACGAGGCTAAACATAGCTTATCCAGTCAGTATTATGAGTCAGTATATGAGTTCTCCTACGACTGACCATTGGGTCGTATTGGAACATATTCTATGTAATTTGAAAGGTGCTCTTGGATGTGGTTTGTTATTTAAAGATCATGGTTATCTTAATATTAAATGTTTTTTAGATGCTGATTGGGCAGGTTCTAAGGAAGATAGAAGATCAACCTCAGGACATTGTGTATTTGTTGGAGGTAATTTAGTTTCTTGGAAAAGTAAGACACAAAATGTGGTGTAGCGTTCGAGTGTTGAATCAGAATATAGAGCTATGACACAGTCGGTGTGTGAATTAGTATGGATATATCAACTTTCGACTGAATTGGGATTTGACATCACTGCTCCAATGAAACTTTGGTGTGATAATCAAGCAACTCTCCATATTGCATCCAATCTAGTATTTCACGAACGAACCAAACACATTGAAGTTGATTGTCATTATGTACATGAGAAAATACAGTAAGGATTGGTGAAGAATACCATATTCACTCAAATAGGAGTCAAGAGCACCAGAAAAATATTCTTTAGCATTATCACTTTGTAGAACCTTTAGAGAGCCACCAAATTGAGTTCGAACTTCAGCATGAAAGTTACGAAAAATGAGAAAGTAACTCAGAACGATGTTTCATTAAATATAACGAAGTTACACGAGAAAAATCATCGACAAATGTAACAAAATGTCGAAACCCACCTATGGACTCAATAAGACAAGAACCCCAAACATCAGAATGAACTAATTCAAAAAGAGTAGTAGCTCGTTTATTGACTCTAGGATACGAACTGAGACGATGAAACTTTTAAAATTGACATGACTCACAATCTAAAGAATGCAGACTACGAAATTGAGGACGAAGACTCTTTAACATGGAGAGAGATGTATGACCCAAACGATAATGTTTTTGAAAGGAGATGGTACTCGAGTGCAAATAGTAACCGTAGGTATTTGTGTATCAAACGTGTGGAGGCCATTGGATTCACGCCCTTTACCAATAGTCTTCTTCGTCGTAAGATCCTGAAATAAGCAATAACAAGGGAAGAATAAGACAACAATTGAGATCACGAGTGAGTTTACTAACAGAGATCAAATTAAAAGAAAATTTTGGTAAATTTAAGATAGAGGTCAATGAAAGAGATTTGGAAAGATGATGCAGATGGGGAGAATTTTGCAAATAAGTTAGTGTTACTTGTCATATGATTTGTCGCACCGTAGTCAATGATCCATTTTGACGCTAAGGAAATAAGACATTTATTGGTATTACCTGGCTCAGCGATGGTGGTGATCGGATTAGAGGACGATCCCGTCAATGACTCTTGATACTATTGGAACTTAGCAAACTCTTCCATAGGAATTGTAACTAACTTGCCAGCATCATCAGGAGTAGGTGGAAAATGTGCTGACTGTGTTTTCTGACCTTTATTCAACAGCTTTCTACATTTTCGCTTTGTATGACTAGGTTTATGACAATAATTGCATATAATGATATCTCCTGAATTTGATTTTGGAGCACTAAAATTCCAACGTTGAGCATTCGAAGTCGTGGAATTCCCGTGGTAGGTATTACCTCGGTTTGCATTTGTACTACGTCCAATCAAAGCACTACTAGACTGAGATGACATGACGGATTGTGACTTCTCAATGCGAAGTACTCGAGCATATGCCTCCTATAAAGCTGGAATTTCCGAATCAGAGAGTAAATTGGTCTTTAGACACATCAAATCTAGGTTGAAGACCAAGAAGAAAATTTATAACTGCTAGTTGTTTGCGTTGGGCAAGCCGAACTTTTGTATCATTAATATCTGAGAGTAATGCATTAAACTCTGCATAAATTCTGTTGTGTTCCATAAAGTGATTTGTAAGTGATTTGTCACCAAATTCAGGTTGGTAGAAGCACTTGCAGATTTCAAATATTCAACAAAAATTTCTTTTTCCAGAATAAAGGAATTCTAAGTATTTAAGCAACTCTTTAACATACTCAGACTCATTGACCAAGCCAATAATGTCACCCTCGATCAAATTCTTGATCTGTAAAACTAGTCGAGCATCATCTCGCAACCAAGCTTTCTTGCTCTCATTCTTAGGAGGATATTCGGTTATGTGATCATCCACATCAATACTTCGCAAAAAAAGACGAACATTGATTTTCCATGAAGAATAGTTTGATCCCTTCAACTTATGTTCTTTGATTTTCGATATCATTGGGATCACCTTAGATGTTACGATTGATTTCTTCTCAGCCATAACAAACAAACGAACTTATTTAAACAAAACAACAAAACCAGTTCAAACCAACCAAACAGAACCAAACAAAACAGATGAACTGAACTGCTTGAATCAAACTGATTAACCGAACCGTTTGAACCAAATCGACTGAACTGGACCGCTTGAACCGAACCGACTGAACCTGATCAGGTGTTTTCTGAAACCAGAAACCCTTAAGTGGTAACCCACGACAACCAGAGGGGCAAAATCCAATAGGGACTGAAGGCGACGGAAGCTACGGCGAAGGCGACTGGCGGTGACGGAAGTGCATGGCAATGGTGACGGGTGGCGACGGAAGTGCGAACGACAGCGAGACAAAAATTATTTCAAATCATGAATGAACTTGCGAATCAGCAAACGGAAACCCACGAACAGCAGCGTTGGCGACGATGGCAACGACAGTGGGCGACAGTGGCGGTGGCGATAGTAGTGAGTTGAGTCGTATACCAATGAACAAAACCCTAAGGTACCAAAACTAAGTTAAAAAATTTCAGAAGAAACCTAGAGCTCTGATACCATCTTAAGGATGAATGAACCATCACTCAACCCAAAAGTTCAAACTGATAGGTTGGGTAAATTTAATTCATTTATGGATATCTCAACATATTTAAAAGTGTTGTCAAAGTGCAAGGGTACACTCAAAGATAACAAGTTCCTTGGTCATGTTGAGCATGAAGTGACTTAAAATTATCACTTGAATGAAGAGCGAGACATTTAAAAGAAACATCAAATATAGCAATTGTAAGGACAACATAGCAATAAATATCTAAACGTAATGCCTAAGTATTTAATACATGGAAAGTGCCAAAAATAAAATATACTACTCCTATAAACAAACATTCAGTCATAAGGAATTATAAGAAGATAAACATTTTGTCACCAGCATTGTTGTTCCAGTAGGTAAAGACATACTTAAATCTTTACAATTAAGAAGAAAGACACTTTGAATTAAGACTATCTTTTTAGTATGAGATGCTTCACACCTTGCAGTGCTTACACCTCTCGCATATCAAAATTTCCTACAGCACTGTGGTTCTTCCATACCAACTTAGCTGCCTTGTGCTGCTATTGTCATAACAACTGGTACACCATAGGTAGGCCTGACCCAGTCCTTTCGTACTAGGGTTGAAACTTGACACCTTACTTTTCTCCCTTTAACACCCATGGTAGATAGAAATCGAATTGTCTCATGACGTTCTAAACTAACTCATGCACCACTTGAATCGACTAACAACTTAACCGTTGGGACATTTCTTCAACCCTAAGATGTGATGAGTAGACATCAAAGTGCCAAACGACTTCGTCAGTAAAATCTCTTGGGAGTTATAAGCATGTTATCTTCAGCGTACATTTGATTCATTGAGCAAGAGCCCTTCCACATAAACTCCCTAAAAAGGAATGAACTCTTTTGCATAGAAGTCTAGATATTCAAAAAAAATCTCAAAAGAACCCTTATTTTGGGATGAGGCCACTTGCTGTGAAAATTTCCCTTGTTATTTTAGTTAATTGCAGTACTTAATTTTGATGGAATAAAAAATATTTATATTCCAATACATAAAAAATAAGAGACCCAAAGCCTTCTTATATAGGAGAAAGGCTCCATTCATAAAAGGAAAATAAGAGTAAAATAATTAAATCATTAATATTTACAGCAAATATTCACAAATAAACCAACAGTACTTTATCTCCATTACTTTTCTTTTAATATTTGTGATATTCGAGCTTGCTTGCACACATCTCAAATAACTTTACAGGACAACCATTTCAGTTTGTGTTTGTCGCATTCATCAAGCATTTTCTAGTATAATAACTAGGTTTATATAATTTTATTATCCTAGTTAATTGTTATATAATTGCGTTGACAATTTTGTAAAGCAGTATAACTAGGTTCCATTTGAAAATATTATTATCTCATCCTATTTTTTTGGAATGTCCTATTTTAAATTACAACCGTAGAAATATCGTTTTGATCTCCCTTAACTATATACAAATAATGGAAAACTAGTGTAATTTACTAGTTGAAAGTGACTCATTTTGTCTGGGTCTTGCAGTCTTTTGTCACGCACAGAGTTTTTGTTCGAGGATCAGGTCTGATTACGTATTATGCTCAAAATTGTAATGATTTGGACTTTCTGGATATTCAGTTATTCCCTTGATGATCTTCTTGCATTGCAGATGAACATCTTACAGTGAGCAGTAGTGAGCATCAATCAATATATTTTTCTGAATGGCTTCTACCATCTCTGGGTTTCTTCGATAAATTTATTGTTAAAAATGTGAGAAAAAACTTAGCCAAAAAACGAGCTAATTTTGCTTTGTAAATAAACTAACATGTGAACATTTTGGGTTTAAACTTTGGTCCTGCAGGCTGGTGTCTTTATAGTTCCATGAACTTCCTTTTTGTACGATGCTGCTGGCCATTTGTTGTAATTCCAGGTCAGTTTTATTTGATTTTCTGGTGCAACAAATTTAGTTTTCAAAATGTCAATATTGTTGGATAGCAAGTTTTGCACTGTAGATTTGCAGTCACCATTATTGATATGGAATTCCCATCTGTACCTGTAGGATGTTTCTAGAGTATATATGTTAAATTCTTTTATATTGAGAACTAAATCTTCTTTTATAAACTTATATTTTAGAGAGAATCAAGGAAGCTTTCCTTTTTAGTCCCTATACTTGAGTTTTGTTTGAATGGGTCTTTATTGTTTATAAGTTTCAATTTAATCCCTTATAGGTTTAATCCAACAAATCCAAAAATTCAAACATCAAAGTTTGAAATTATAGCATCTAAAACAAGTAAAAACCAAAAAAATTAATATAATATTATCCAACATAAAATTAACGTAATATAATATTACAATAGTTTCATCTCCAAAGTCATGATAAAAATACATTATAAAAGTCTAGAATAAAAATACAACAATGACAATTATCTTAGCACAGACCATAAGTATCCCTCAAAATGACACCAAAATCTTTGTAAACAACTTATAAAAGTAATATAAAAATTAATAAAAATTATTATTAATTTATTATATATAAAAATTAAACGGTTGACCTAATCCTATAAGGAGAAGGTAAAAGACTAATTAATATTAATACAAAAATATAAAATATACTAATATATACTCTAACACTCCCCTTCAAGTTGGTGCATATATGTTAATCATGCCTAACTTGTTAGACAAATAATCTATTCGTGCTCCATTCAATGCTTTAGCAAAGATATCTCCTAGTTGATCTCCAGTCTTCACATACCCTGTAGCCACCAATCCTTACTGTATTTTCTCACGTAAATAATGACAATCAACTTCAATGTGTTTGGTTCGTTCATGAAATACTCGATTCGATGCAATATGAAGAGCTGCTTGATTATCACACCAAAGTTTTATTGGAGTGGTGATGTCAAATCCCAATTCAGTCAGAAGCTGAAGTATCCATACTAATTTACACACCGACTGTGCCATAGCTCTATATTCTGATTCAACACTCGAACGCGACACCACGTTTTGTTTCTTACTTTTCCAAGAAACTAAATTACCTCTGACAAATATACAATATCCTAAGGTTGATCTTCTATCTTCCTTAGAACCTGCCCAATCAGCATCTGAAAAACATTCAATATTAAGATGACCATGATCTTTATATAACAAGCCACGTCCAGGAGCACCTTTTAAATAACATAGAATATGTTCCAATGCGACCCAATGGTCAGTCATAGGAGAACTCATAAACTGACTCATAATACTGACTGGATAAGCTATGTCTGGCCTTTTAACCGTAAGATGATTCAGCTTCCCTACTAATCTCCTATACTTCTCAGGATCTTTCAACAACTCCCCTTCCTTTGTAAATTAGGTATCATTGGAGTACTACGCGGCTTAACAGCTAACTTTCTTGTTTCAGTTAACAAGTCAAGTACATACTTTCTTTGTGACAAAAGGATCCCCTTCTTGCTCCTTGTTACTTCAACTCCTAAGAAATATTTCAACATTCCCAAATCTTTAGTATGAAATTGACTATGAAGAAAAGACTTGAGTGATAGGATGCCTGATGAATAATTATCAGTAATCACAATATCATCAACATATACAATTAGTAAGATAACACCAGACTCAGATCTTTTATAAAATGTAGAATGATCTGACTTACTCTTCTTCATTCCAAAATTCTCAATCACCTGACTGAATTTTCCAAACCATGCTCGCGGACTTTGTTTCAACCCATATA